ACTTATTATATTTATTTACAGTATTATCATTCTCGTCCTCCACTAACTCATGGACTAGCATCTTTTTAAGGGCAAAACCTGTTTCCTGCTCATCTTCGTAATTCAGTAATACTCCATCCCCACTCTGGGCTAGGCATCGTTCGTCAGTTACAAATATGGTTAGAAACAGTATCCACCCTTATAGAACTTAATGATTCACAGCAAATAATGGCTGGCTCACCCTGTGCACCACTAACACAGACCAGATCACATCATCCCTGTTAATGCGTCTTCCCAACTGAACGGTGAGCACCTTCTGGACGAGGTCTGGTTTCCATCCTCATCTCCCTGGTGCTTAACACAATGACAGAGTACCTTTTCAAGAAATGTCTGCAGAATAAATTATGTCAATTTATAAATAATATTATTCAAAACTGAGTACTTTTTTTGACCCTAGTGTGCGTTTTGTTTTTTGTTTTTTATTTACATTACTGACATAATTGTGATGCTCAAATAGCCCTGGACATGCTAACATGAAATGACAACTACAACAATTACGATAAGCATGCTACAAAAAATATGTGTATCTATTTACTCCCAATTTAAGAAATGGAAACAAAGAATATGCATACATATTCACTTAAAAACATTGTAACAAATTAATACACAAAGATGGAGGTTGTAAAAAAAAGTACATTATATAGAAAAATTATCCACAATGAGACAAGACTATTAATTAATTTACTGTAAGGATACACCTGAAAACTTCTAAAGTTATATAATTATAAATTAGAGAACATCATTATCTTACAGTAAATTCAGTTGTGGTATTCTAATTAACCTCATGATAAAAGTTATACAAAGGTACATATTGCTTTTCTTTACATTCCTGACCAATTTCTCCGTTAAAAAAAGTTTGGTGTTGAAAATGGTCTTGGTTGGACAGACGTAAGCATTGCTGAAAAAGCACAATGAGGAATTCAGGCTTTGGATTTTTTTTTAAGTTTATTTTTAATAATTTGAAATGGAAGAGTCAAGTATTCATTGGCAGTTTTTTTAAATATCAGCACAGGGACATCTAAATTAACAATGCTGCATGCTGCTTTGAATTAACCTGAAAAAACATCATATACAAGATTACCAACCCTCTTTTTTATCATGGAATTTTCTAAACAAAAATTTTTCTGAGTCAGCCATACTTGGATATTAGAGCTAAGGAGCACCTTTTAGAATCTAATCCTAAAAACTTCAATTACGTTATGTAGATTTACAAAATTAGTTCATTTCTACATGTCACCTATCAACTGGATTATCAGTCAGAAAACCTAGGAATACAATTTGCCAAGATGTTCATGTTTACACTTTTTAATCTACTGATACTTCTAAGCATAAAATGACAATACAGTATTTACATTCAATAAGTTTAATTTCAAAAGCTTACTTTTATGCTTAATCATTTTAAATTGTTGATGATTAGAAGAGGCAAATAAATGGTCCCAAGCTTAACTACTGATTTACTCAACAACTTTGACAGACCTCAAGGGCATGATGCTGAGTGAACAAAGCCAATCTCAAAAAGTCAAATTTTATGATAAATTTGAAATAACAAAATTATAGAGATGGAGAACAGGTTAGTGGTTGCCAGGGGTTAGAGATGGTGGCAAAACGAGGGGGGGTGTGACTACAGAGGGGTAGTAGCAGGAGGGAGATCTCTGTGGTATTTGTGGAGGTGGGTACATGAATGGACACATGATAGAATGGCACAGAACTATGACACACATTGTACCAATGTCAATTTCCTGGTTTTGATATTGTATTATAGTTACATAAGATGTAACATTTGGGGGAGTCTGGGTAAAGGGTACACAGTGACCTCTCCACTTCCTTTGCAACTTCATGTGAGTCTATCATTCTTTCAAAACAAAAAGTTTAAAAAAAATTGCTTCATGAATATCTAATTTCATGTGCCACTTCAGAGAACCCAAAAATAGAAACTGTAGGAAATTCATCTGAGTGCAGCTTATGCAAGAAAGAACAGGATAACTCCCATTCTGGACCCATGCCCTAAGACACACCCTTAGTCTTACATGAAGATAGGCAAATAAATATGCATACATTTTAAGACTAAAAAACTTTTAAGGTATCTTGTACTATTTTTTATAGTTCCTTTGCTTAAGTGACTTTTTGGTTCACTGAAAAACTACCAATCACATCAGATAGACTTTTACTGTGAAAATAAACATGATGTGGATAACACATCTTAGCTCTATATTTTATTGCCTCTTCAAGACGGTAGTGAAAAACACATGGCTATTCAAATGAGTCCACACAACAATCATAAAAGTGTTAAAAAATTGAAGAGTTATATATGTAAACACCAGACACATGCCTGGCATATAACGGGCACTCCATGAGAAGCTGCTGGTTGCAGGGTCCTAGGCCTGACACATCTAAATGTCTATGACCAAGAAGTCAAGGATCAGCAAATATGCACGCATTAAAAGTTTGCACACTCCACAAACTTTTCCTTTCTAATGGTACCAAAAATTTCAATGATATTTCAAGCAAAAATAGCTGTAGAAAATAAATTTGCTAGGGCACTCCCGCCAAGGGTTCAGATCCCACATACAGACAGGCCGCTCACTGGCTGAGCGAGGTCCGAGGGTTGCGAACCCGTTGCCGGTCCCGGTCCAGAACGGGCGTGACACTGAGGGTTGCGATCCGTTGCCGGTCACGAAAAAAGACAAAAAGGAAAAAAAAAAAGAAAAGAAATTTGCTAAATCCTGTGGCTAAGAAACATCTTAGTACCCCTCATATTATTCATTAACCAGGTGTCAATTCTGTTTCCAATACAAAAGCCCTAAGTAAGGGGCCAAGCCGGTGGTGCACTCGGGAGAGTGCAGCGCTGGGAGCGCAGCAGCGCTCCTGTCACAGGTTCGGATCCTATATAGGGATGACCGGTGCGCTCACAGCGCTCACTGGCTGAGCGCGGTGCGGCCGGTCTCAAAAAGGACCAAAAAAAAAAAAAAACCCTAAGTAAGGAATGGGGTGCTTCACACTCCAGATGGTAAAGCCATCCTCAACAATATTAGGGTAATGTCTGTCAGCATGAAGATTGCAACCGCAATGGGTATCTGCAGGGGTGAAACTATGTCTAGTTCCTTAGGGTAAAACAACATTCACTCCTCATATTTAATAAGCAATGCTGGAGAAACTATAACACAAAGGTCAGCAACCACTTTTCTCACACTATCTTAATAGCTCCAATACCTGTAACAGGTTTTTCCTCTGTTGTACTATCCAAAACCTAGTCTGTTCATTAACTCCTAAGAAGAGTTTGGAAGACTTCTGAATAATATTTCAAATGTCTAAGAAGGACCAAGTACTATATATTCACTACCACACTGAATAAATCAAAAGTAAAATAACAAGCAGTCTAAGACATAAATGGTCCTTCATTTATCTACCCTCACTCATCACACTCACCACAGGCATTCACCTCAACATTAAACTGATTTTTAGATCAAGATGCTAAAACTCACATTTAGCAGCTACTCAATTATAATTACTAAGAAAAAAAATTCGTTAGGTAAGGTTCTTTACTTCAACAAGTTTCTCAAAATACATAAATACCAATATAAAAACAATTCTTAAAATGAGTTTGCCTGAATCTCAAGATTTCAGAAATAAGAAATTACTCATCCTCTCCCACCAGCTTAAAAAAATGACCAAAAAAGAGACTGTAGTATCTAAATAAAAGGAAATGTTTAGTCAAAAACAAACCAGAAGATTAACTACTACACCAGTTCTTGAACCATTCTTTGTGCTCTGTTTTATATAACATTACACCATTAATAACAATCCCATCACCCACAACATACTTCTACACACTTGACTTTCATGTCTACCAGCAAGCAAAACCTGTTTAAAAAGAAAAAATAAGGGCCAGCCCGTGGCTCACTCGGGAGAGTGCGGTGCTGATAACACCAAGGCCACGGGTTCGGATATAGGGATGGCCGGTTAGCTCACTGGCTGAGCCTGGTGCTGACAACACCAAGTCAAAGGTTAAGATCCCCTTACCGGTCATCTTTTAAAAAAAAAAAAGAAAGAAAGAAAAAATAATAAGTAAGGGGCAATAACACTTCACTACAAGTATTAATGATCAATTATTACTTACAGACTACATGACTCTTGATGAACAGTCATGTACTATGCAAGATTTCATTATAAAAGGTAGATTGCTTGAGAAATACTTAAAATGGTTAGCCTCGGGGAGAAAAAATATATACTATAGAATATTACAGACACTTATTTTTGCTGGTGATACGGAGTTCCAAAGAAGTTTTTCCAAACCATTTGCAAACAAAACTAGCTTGGGGGTAAAGAATTGTCCACATAACATTACTATTATGACTATTTATTTGATAATTTCCTGACAAGCTTGCGATTATCTTACTGAAGCAAAACATTAGAGTCAAAGGTCAACACTTTTTCTCATGTTCCTGATGTGAAAAATCTAAGCACTCCTCTTAATAAGTCACAAATTTAAGAAAAAGAAAAAAAAAAAAGTTTAACTGCAGTAACTCTTGTCTCTCCAGAAACACAAACACAAGATCCCATAAAATGAGTGAATTTCTGCTTGCCGCAATAAAGTAGTACATGTCACTTCTCCACTCTTCCCGCATATAGTTAACATCTCAAAATCTATCAGTAACTAACAAACGGTTACCAAGATATGGATAAGTAACACAGATCTTTTTAAACAATAATAACAAATTGGAAAAATTTTTGCATAACTAGACCTCAAGTTTCTTGCACTTACAAATGTAAAAATGAAGCCACACACAATCTACAAAAACCATAGAAACTGTTACATTTTAAATTACAAAAAATGAACCTGCTTCTCTGAGATCTAATTGACATCCCTTACCTATCCTTTAAAAAAAAAAAAAAAAAGCCTTCACCAGGAATTTAAACATGGAGGCAGGAGCACACCAAGGAAAAGGCATGTTAAACCCCACCTGTATGTCTGTTTTCAACCATTTGGAGTCAAGGCGAGCCTGGGCAGCCAAACAAAAAGTCTCAGAAGGCATCTTCCCCCAGCTTCCTCCCGGCTGTCAGGCCTGCAAGTAAAACAGAAACGTCGAAGACCTAAAGCTTTCTAAAATTTCACAAAGACCCTCCCTCAAGGTGTAATGCGGCCAAAAAAAAAAAGAGAGAGAGAGAGAGAGAGAGAAGAGCAGAGGGGACAGGAGAGCCGGGGGAGGGAAGTGCGGGAAGAGGGAAGGAAGGGCCCACTTCCCGGGCAGGCAGGCAGGCATCGCCCGGGTTCTGCCCTACTTTGGCAAGACCTCGGGAAAGGCCGGTCGTCGGAGACCGATTCAATGTCATCCCCTTCCCTCAAATCCAAAAGGTGTACACGCAAACGGAGGCAGGAAGTCCATCGCCTCAAGGACAAGCGACACCAGCATGCTCCTGCCGCTTTACACCGGCACAGGGCGCGGTGTATGGCACAGATTGGTCAAAAGTCACGTTTGCAGCAAGATCCCACAACAATCGCCCAGAGACTGAAGGGCGGCCGGAGACCGCACCGCGGGCAGCTGCGCAGGCTAGGGTCCGGCCGCCGCCCCGCCC